AGTAAAATTCGCCAGCACTCATTAGCTTCAAAAAGTTACAGTTTAAACGACCCGAGACACAAAAATATGGACAGTTAAGGATGAATACATTTCACGCGAAACAAAATTGTCATGAGAATGAAACAAGAACATGGCCTAAAGCACAGTAGACGACTCATTCCAGATCAGCAGGGGAGAACGACGAAAAAATCGGAAGCACAAGCAACGTCAACACTTGTCACGGCCCCTTGTTGCTATGAAAATAGCAGTCTGAGCGGCAAGAAGGGACGAACTATGGAGAAATAAAAATAATATATTTCACGAAAAACCAGAGTGGTCATCAGGAGAAGCAAGAACATCTGAAAGACGCATCCCAGATGCGCACGGGAGTGGTGACATGGTGAAGTAATGTTAAATATATAGGCACCGCAGAGTCATTAAGGTAATATATATGCCGGCAGGTTTAACTTTGGTGATTATGAGTAAGTTATACTGTGTGTTCTGAGAGTGCTATTTGCAGTTTGTTTATATTTTAGATAAGGAACCGAAAAATGAAAATGATGGTCAACCTGATTCAGCACATTTGGTGCCAGCTAACTCATTTTTTTATTTTCCGTAATTTGCGAGCATGCTCAGCTTTCTCCATTTTGTCCTGTCGAAAGGCAAATCGGTTGTTTGAATGGCCTTGACTTGTTTCATAGAGCCTTTCTTTATATATAGCTTGAAATACTTAAAATAATATATTTGGTTTGCCTTATGAATTGCGCGTTGAGCTATTAAATTCGATTTTATTTTCTTCGTAGTTTTCGGGCGGGCGTAGCGCTCTTTTGTGTATAACAATTATTTTGTCGTAGTTGTAAACACCTGCTGTATTCCAAACCACAATTCCGTACCATATTTTAGTATAGAGCAAAGTATGATACAGCATTTTCTTTATCCAGGTACGAACAAGCGTTGCTAGTTTTTGCATGCAACCAACCGACCTGCTTAGTTCTGACTTCAGTTTTGTCACATGGGTTGTCCATTTTAACTCTTCATTGAACCAAACATCCAAAAATGTTTGATCCTGCACTTGTTCGATTAAAATATCTTCAAATTTAATAGAAATCGAGCCACCGCTGGGTTTATTTACAGGTCTAAATATTATATATTTGGTTTTATCCGTATTGTTCAAACCCGTTATAGCGAAGTCGGTTATAAAGAATAGCGGCTACAGCGAAACGATCACGATATCCCATTCCCTTTTGCACTCTGTTATAACCGACGTAATAACTCGGTTATAACGAAATAGCGGTTATAGCGAAGTGATTTCCGATTCCCGTTGTCTTCGTAATAACCGGTCTCGACAGTATTAAGTTGTAATTTGTTATTTTGAAGCCAGGACGACAGCTTCATTAAATATTCGTTTGCTGATCTTTCTAGAGCCTTTACTGGTTGCTCGAAACCAAACAACCAGCGAAAAACACATTTGTGCCATCGGCGAACATGTCCAACTTTGATGAATCTGGAATGGCCATGATATCGCTAATATATGCTAAGAACAATACTGGTCCGAAATTTGAACTTTGAGGGCCGTCACACTTTATTTCTAACTTTCTTGATAGTACATTTTTAATTTGAACAGATTGAAAGCAATGTTTAGGTATGATGATATAAGTTTCAAGCGACACCACGTATACCATATTTTTCCAATTTATGAAACAGTATGTTATATTGAATAGTATTGAATGTTTTTCTGAAATCTAAGAATAATCCTAGGGTAAGTAGTTTGTTTTCAATATTTTTTACGATTGTATCCTTGATGTATGTGAGTGCCAGTTCGGTGGATTTTCCTTCTTGAAAGCCACACTGAAGTGCGGTAATAACATTATATTTATTGATAAAATTTACTTGCGTATTGCTTAAAACACCTTTAACTATTTTTGAGAGGATGGACAACACCGATATGGGACGGTAGCTTTTCAGGTGATTCTCGCCTTCCCCTTTATATACAGGGTTTACTCTTGCGACCTTCAAGTCATCAGGAAAAATTCCCGTCGCAAACATGTTGTTTATAATGTTGGATAGAATCTCGCTCATTGTACGTGATGCCTTCTTTATTGGAACGACCCTGATATTGTCAAGTGCTGCCGCTACGTTGTTTTGCAGCCCCATTATTTGTTTTTGTATTTCACTTGGAGTTGTTGGCGACTGCATAATTGACCCTGAGATACAAGGACCAGGCACTCTATCATTGCACGAATTTGTCATTTGGGGCTTATCTGCTACTCCTACATTGATAAAATGTTGGTTCATCGTGTTAGCTAGCTCAACGCCGCTTATCTTATTGTTGTTTATGCATAGTTCCTGCAGATTATTTTGTGTGCCTTTCCTGTTTGTTAGGTTGTTCACAATGTCCCATATTTTTTTCGGGTCATCGAGGATTCCTGCAAATTGTCGAAGATAATACTCCGTCTTTGCTTTTTTGATGTCACGATTTAGTTTGTTTCGTACTTTTTTAAATTCGGCTAGTATGTTTTTATCCCGTTTTTTTTTTCATAAAGCGATGGCACAAATTGTCGTTCTTTTTTATCTTCTTATAAAAACGATTGTCAATCCTTGACTTGCGAGCTTTGTTTTTTTCTTTTTCTCGAAATATTTAAGGGGAAGGCGTCATCATATAGTTGCCTCATTTTCCCCAGGAACTCACTATAAGATAGGTTAGGACTTTTTTCAAAATATACCACACTCCAGTCTTCATTATCAACCAAGTCAGTGAACTTTTTGAAGTGCTTCGTCACTTATTCTACAACATTGAAATGATTCTTACCCTGTTTCTTTGCTATTGTTGGGAATAGAGGCTTGGCAAAAAATGGGAAAGTGGTCACTAATATGTCGCGTGAATATTCCGGCCATGGCATCACTCGTGCTTAAATTTGTTACACAGATATCGATTCATGTGGCACTTTCTAAGGGGACCCTAGTTGGCAGGGTAATCAAATTGCTACAGCCGTAGCACATCGTGCTTTCATTAAAATCGGTCGTATGTAGTGTGTCTGAGAGTATTAATATTGATATTACCCCTTGAGAAATATGGGAGTGATTCTGAGGTGAGAAAGCGGAGCAACCGATCGTAAAATTCAATAAAGCTGCTTTCGCTTCCTTTAGAAGGCCGGTATACTGCAGCAACCAATGCCCCTTCAAGATGTACCGTGACGCATTCAACATTTTCGTTTATTATTGTGAAAGCATCCGCTACTGAATAAGAGTAGCTGTTTTTAACATATATGAGGATTCCCCCACCTCTTTTATTGTCCCTCGTTAAATTGGCACAGCTGTAGTTATCAGCATGCGGCGGTTGATCATTTTTGTTCAACCATGCTTTGGTAAAGATAATTGTGCTCTGCAATTCATATTGCAGAAGCGTTGTAGACGCATATGGTAAGCTCGCGCTGAGCAGAAACGGACTTAACTATGGCCACCAGTGCATGCCAACTTCGACACCAGAACGCGCTCGATGGAGCAGGAAGTCAATAATCTGAGTGCCCTCCCGCTAAGGAGCACTTACAAACTACGGCCGCTAAAACATAACGTAACAAGCAGAAATCATCCGCTTGGACTGTTGAAAACGGAGCTGAAAATCACGGCGAAAGAAGTGACAGTACGAAGAATGAATTTCCTTGAGCACAAACATGATGTCGGGAAACAAGTTTGCTTGAGAAACAGCCAACTCGTTGATTTCCAGCTGAGAAGCTGGTAGTAGCGTTTTTTGTTTTTGTTTTTTTAATATCGATTTCTAAGTGGATCGGAGTTTCCCATTAGTGTAATACATTGGCAGCGCTCGTTTTTAGTCTTCGTGAATCGATATCAGTCACTGATTCTGGTTCAACTTTTGACCGGAGACTCCCCTAAAACCCCAGGTTAGCAGGTAAGCAGCTGCAATGCGGTCGCTAAATCTCTTATCTACAGCGTGAACTAGTGTTGCCCTATCACAGAAGCAGCCCAACTTCAGCATAACTATAGTCGGTGAAAGGCTAGAAAGTCAGTGCGCACTCCGCCTCCATCTTGAACTTTCTGTCTTTGGTAACGCTTCGCAGGACGTGCAGCCGAAGCCCAGTGAAAGGGAACAATCACGTGCTGGAGGGTGAGCTTACCCGAAATTCTTATCTTGTCACCAACTATAAGATTGGAATGTGTGTATGTTTATACAGCCTAGAACTTGGTCTGCCTCAACGAGAGAGGAGTCTCCAAGCAGCAGATGAGAAATTTAGTCAGTGCAGTACAACCGCTATTCTGGAGTTAACTGGTTATAAGTACATATTTTTAATGTTCTTTGCGTTTCTCTGGCACACCGGTGAGAAATTTCAATTTCCAGTATAGCTACAGTTGCGCACAAAACGACAGAAATAGAGAAGAAGAACACGCAGGCGACAGACAAGCGTTTGCTTATCTGTCGTCGGCGTGTTCACCTTCTCTGTCCCTGTTCGTTTGTGCGCAACTGTATCTATGTTCAATCTATACCAGCCCGTGCAACTGTCTACAGTACTACTTTTCAGTAGTTAATTTAGAGCATTCGTTTATTGATTTCTTAAGGACCGGCATTTCATAAAAATGGGGTTGGCAATGTAACAATGCCAAATAATAGGCTCAAGACACGAACGAACAAAAGCATGTAACACATCGAGACCCGCACTCCTGCGACTAAAACTTAAGAAAAGTAATGAAGTCCAGTGCAAAAGGCAAAAGTAACACGATTGAGATAACTGCGAATAATACACGATAAAAACATTGTTACTAAGATGTCATGAAGGTTAACATTCACGCCGCTGCGTAGAATATGATAAACGCCGCATGATTTGTTTAAAACTGCTGTTTCTAATTTGTATTGTTCATAACTAATATGTGCTTTGCCTTTAAGTTATTCATTGTATAATTTTCTCGTTGAATACTACCCACTCCCCTCTGTAACGCCGTTGGCCCTGAGTGTATTGAAATAAATAAATAAATAAATAAATAAATACTCCGTATGCAAAGTCACTCACCAGCTGTACACGGAGCTGGGGTTACAGGACAGGTTGAGCGATCGCCTCTGGTCAGCCTGACGAGTTCTGGACGTCGAAGAACCCAGAAAGCGGGAGCGCGGAGGCAGCGTGCGGGTGCCGTAGCCCCTGGCCAGGCTCGTCGTCATCGTAGCCTGCGAACAACGCGCCCTCCACGTTAAAGGCGGCCCCTTTGTGACGTCAACGCGTCGTTCCGACGCGTGAATCATCCCCGTCGGCTGGCGTGGAGCAATACCCGGCACGAGGACAAGGCCCGCGTGTGACGTCATCTTTCGTTGTTCTCCGACCCGCCACCAAGCGGAAAACACGCCCAAGCTCGACGAGAGTACGCCGCCGCAAAGCCGCAGACGCGAGCGTCATGAGCGTCGCCGCCTGCCAGCATCGCCTTTGTTGTGAGACGCGGCGAGACGCATTCGCGTCGACGCTGACGCCAGCTAGATGGCTCTGGGTGGATGCACTATAGTGGTAGCGTTTGAGGACGAAGGGCGCGGTCTTTGTCTTCTTGGCAGCATTGCGTTGAGTCACTCGTGATGACCTCAGGCGGCGTGGGCGCCCCTGCATATGTCGAACGCGAATGAGCGGCTGCCAGTTCATGGGGCTCGAAAGTAAACATGCACTCCTCCGTTGGTTGCGAAAGAACCTATACGGAGGAACGCTCGGCCCTTCGCGCTGCTGACAGCAGTAAGCTCGAAGCGACGAAGGATGGAGGTTTGAGGAAGTTGCTGGCCGAAGCCCACGGTTGAAAGCAGTTAAACGGCCACTGGCCCGTCGTGGTGTTTGGAGACGGCAATCGGAAGGAATTTCGTTTTCTAAACAACCGCGTTTTTGGGTGGCTCCATCCACTCAAGAAAACCGGGTGTTCAGTCTGGCGGGGGACTATGATAGAATATTAATTTAAAGAGAAGCCGGTGTTGGAATATTGAATACTATGGTATCAATATGGGTAGCCCACGGAGAATATTGTTTACGTCCTCTCATTGATTTTAGAAGGCCACGGTTTTACTTTGTTCGAGTTCGAGTGTGTAGTGCACCTTCATTGAGTGTTCGTTCCAAAGTAAGGTTTATCCAGAAGATTTTGAAGCTAGAAAAATTGCGCTGAAGGCAAGACATCCGTGAAAAACACGGTCGACTGAAGCTCTCGTGAATATACATGTGCTGATTTGAGAACATCATCTTGGGTGCCGCGTGAAAACGGCCTGGTCGACGTTTGTTTTTAGAGAGAATTATATTTATCTACATCTTCAAGTTTAGGCGAGTGTCCGGTATTTCTCGGTTTTGAATGGAAGACGAATCTCTCTGCTTACCAAGTCTCACATGACGAACATTTTAAAAACGCTGCTCGCAACCCGCTGAAAAAGAAAAAAAAGAAGAATATACTAGTATACACATATATATTTGTGAAAAAGAGTGGTGTAGTTGAATATTGCTCTGGCCGGCCGAAAGGTACGTTTGTTGCGCGGACGTGTATTCGAAGCCCATATGAACATCTGGCTTTTGAAATTTAAATATTATGATTGCTCTAATTTCCCGCGTCAGCCTCAACTTCTATAATCTTCAAATGCAATCGGTGGAAAAGTTCTCAAAAATTATATACACTATAGTGGTTACTACTACGTACAAAAAAATCATTTTCATGAACTTAAGTGTTAAAGTTTTTTTTTGTTTTTTGTTCTTTTTTTTTTTTTTTACCAGCTGCCGTCTTTGAATGCGGATATTGAAGCCACGAAACTTGCGAAGAAACATATGTTTTAGATTAAAGTTTGTTTCTTTCAAACTTTTATAAAAAACAATTCACCTAATTCATTTTGAGCTAAACGTGGGTCGTCGTCTTTGTACAATAAAATAAAACGGTATATCTATTTATTTTTTTTTATAATAGATGGCTTGGGCTTTCCCCTCTGTTCTTTGGTGCTTCCTCTTTTTAGTGGCTGCACACTACAGGAATGTCTGCTACCTAACAAATTACTTTATGTAAAAAAAGAAAAAAAATGCTGCAAGCTACAGTTGCAACCACGTGATTTTCTGAAGACACTCGCTGCAGCCATCGTGCATACACGTATGTAACTTTTACCTCTTTCTATTACGTGGCAATCATCCCATACCAGATTTCAGCCACTTGAGACTTTTGTGGTATTGCTGTTGGGAAATCGTAATACGTGCTTTTCATTGAATGAATGATTACACTAGTCTATTTGTCACGCAGCTGAGTTGTTTGAGTACATTTTTTATTAGGTATTTTTAGTAACTCGTTTTGGATACATACCGTACTCCCGATAACGATGCGACGCATGCGCAAAGGTAGCAGCAGAGTGTCGGGTATCGTTTTCAGAGACATGGGAACGATTTACTAAAATTCTCTGTTTATTATCGTCCTTACTGCTTCTTCGATTCAGCAGAGCGCACACCAGTTTGCCACACTCTGTTGCCGCATCACGCAATTAATGTAAGCGGTGACCAAATGACTTTAAATGTCTCCGTTCCACCGAAAAAGACAATACTGTTCCCTTTGACGCATAACAGTTACAAAGGAGCCGTCAGTTTGAGCTCACGTCCTGCCCCTATGGTGTGGTGTAAACAAGTTGAACAAAGGCTGCAGAACGAAAACAAAAACAACAAAAAAAAAGACGTCTTGGAGATCATATTGTGCGTGTGTCATCCTGTTTGTTCGTGTTGTAATTTTTGTGTTCTTTCCATATTAATTCAAAATTGCCAGATCTTTCGCGACCCTCCAATTTGTTGAGGTGAAGGCGTTCGTGATAAAATAAAATAAAATAGTATACTAAACAAAACTTTAACTGAACACAGCCTCTTGCTCATTTTTATGTTAGGGAACTCACGTTCCACACAGTGTCGTCAACCAAGACTGAGGAGTCGCGATGCAACAAATCCGATCAGTATAAGGCAGGCTGTAACGACGCGATGTGCCCTCAATGTTATTTCTGGACGGCGTCTCCTAGCTTACGAGCAGCTGAAACACGTCACTTGTCAGTTCGCCAAATTACGCAAGGCGAGTTGTTTTCGTTTCTTGCTCTTTCGACTGCCTCCCCCCCCCCCCCCCCCCCCCCCCCCCTTGGTCTTCTGTTGCTTCGACAGCCTACTGCTGAGCGTTCGGTTCTTCCGAAACACACTTTTCTTTTTTTTTTTTGTGCTTGTTGTTTCGAAGACTGCCGTTGAGTCACGGTGCATCGATGATCCACCGGGTGTCCCACAAAGCGGCCAGCCTCTTGAAATCGACCGCAAAATTCGGTTTCTTAACCTATCGCGCTACGACTTTGTGCAGCGTTGACCACGGAGGCTTTTTATTTTTTTTTTATTTCCAAAAAGCGATTTACCTGAGGAAAAGGTAAAAAAAGAAAAATGCTTAACTCCTATGGTAATGCAGCAATGCCACCGGTCTTCAAACCAGGCACGTAGCCAGGGGGGGGGGGGGGGGGGCATGGGCCCAGGCTTCACCCCCCCGAAGTCTTTCATTTTGCTGGGACCTCCTCTCCCCCTTCCTCCTCCTACAAAATTTTGTCGGGGGCGCACCCCCCCCCCCCCCCCCCCCCCGAAACAAAATCCTGGCTACGTTCCTGCTTCAAACTATAGGTATTGTTTCAAGACCGGTGACTTCGGTGCATTTCCATCGGAATTAAGCCTTTTTCTTTCTTTCTACTTTTTCCTCGGCTAAATCGCTCTTTGCAAATTTTATTTAAAAAAAAGAAAACAATACACCATTTGTGGGCAACGCTGCACAAAATCCTACTTGCGTACTTTGCTCACGCTCCTGCGTACTTTTCGCCCGAGCGATTCGGCGCGCGTTTCTTGGAATGCTCGGTAGAAAGAAAATCGGGCAGACTCCAGACTCCAGACTGCGACTGCATGCAACATATACTTTAAGGGTACTAAGTGCAATAAAAAACAAGACCAAAAACAAGTTTACAAAAGGCAACTTAGTGTTTCGTGAATTGGCCTTAATTAATACAACTAAAATAACTAAAGCAAAAGCCAAGGCAAGCTTCCGTGCTTCCTAATTACCGATCCAAAAGCCGCGATCGAAGACCACGTAAATACAAAAGTTTGTTAACATACATTAAGGAAACTAACACCAGCATAAGATATATTAATTACGAGGCATTAAAGAACTTTGACAGCTCAGAAGGGCAAGTTCACCTTCCTATGAACATGCATCTCTAGTCTTCACCACTTTTCTTTTTTTTAACTATCTTTCTCCTCTGGATTCCTGGATGCGGAGGCAACTCAATTATTAGTGGCCGATGAGTGATTATCGTTTTATAATAGGACAATCGAATATTTTGAGTAACATTTGGGGTTTGACTTTTGCCTTAGACACAACAAGATTTGAGTTCGGACTTGGCTTTTAGAGCTTATTTGTGACGTGAATCAACAAGATTAACCGGCGTTTATTTTACTAAAGCAAGCTAGGCATTCATTCGAGCTTATTTTAAAAAGTGTGCGACTTCAGTTCCTAAAACTTCTAATAAAAGTGACGTAATGAACCAAAGAGCTGTATTCGAAAGAAAGATAAGCTGCAGAAGCATGAATCCTAAAAAATTATTTTGTTTTGTTTAATCCCCACCGACTACATATTGTCCCGGCAAAGGATGGTTAGGTTGTGATCAATTACCGTATTGGCATAAACTCAGTAGAACTTCCAATCTAAAGACCTAGACAAAAAATTTAAACAAGAATGAACAGTCTATAAAATCTTTCAGCTTATTTTGTTATCTTTCAACCAGTTAATCAAACTAATAATAGGTTGACATTAATTTGTGTGTCTCAGTAAATACTACACGGTGGGCGAAATGAATTGAACGCAATTTAAACATATTGCATAAATCGGTTTTTAGATTCTCGCGCTGAGATTTAGTACAGAGGTTCTCAAGGTTGGTGCATTCAGCAATTTCCACATCATACCTTCGGAGTCAAAAGAAAAACAATAGACACCGGTTTTCTCTATGCAAAAATGTTTGCTAAGCCTTTATCCCAAAATCATTAAAAAAATTCTTGTGGGATTTTCTGGTGTTTACCACGATTGAAACTTTTGTGAATTGGCTAAAGTATTCTGGTCTTTATTTGGCCCAAATAAGAGCCACATCAGCACATGCTATGTTTTCAGTGTATGTACATGCAAAGTATTGGGAACACAGAGTTTTTGGTTTTTCTTGAGTTAATCAGGTGAGCCAACCCTTTCACAATTTCAGATGAAGCTTCTACCAACTTCTGTCACCTTTGTAGTAAATACCAGCGTGAAAAGTTAACAAACCGATTTATGCGGTTAGTTTAAGGTGCGCTCGATTCATTTTGCTCAAGCTGTATTTCTGTAAAGATGAAACATAGAAAATAAACGAGAAGTCAAGTGTCATCTAAGTAAAGAAAATACGTCTCGAGCATTTCACTGCGTGGCAATAGAGCCATGTTAAAAGCCTCAGGATTACACCTCTTAATGTAAGAAAAAACATAAATTAAGTACATATTCGAACAATATGGATTTCCTATCCTCGTTC